TTACATTATAAAATTATCGTGATTACATTATAAAATTTTTTGTTTTCTGTGTCATAATTGTTACAAAAAAAATCGTTATAAATAAACTTTACAAAAAAAATTGTTATAAATAAACTTTACAAAAAATTGTTATAAATAAACTTTACCAAAAAATCGTTCTAAATAAATTACAACAAAAGATATTTAAAATAAATTTTACAAAAAAAATCGTAACGAATAAACTTTACAAAAAAAATCGTTATAAATAAACTTTACCAAAAAAATTGTTATAAATAAATTACAACAAAAGCTCAGCCAAAAGATATTTGAAAAAATATTGTTAAAACAGTCTTATCCAGTACTCAATTGTACTCTCGTGAATACTCTATTGAAAAATACTTATCAATTGTACTCTCGTGAATACTCTATTGAAAAATACAAGACAATTTTATATACTATCTATAAAAGTAATGATATCAACAGTTTACATTTGCACTTGGCGAATGTAACCTCTTGATATCTTTTTTACTTGATTACTTTTGTAGAGACTATATAAAATTGTCTTATATTTTTCAATGGAATATTTACAAGAGCACAATTGATCTGAATAAGATTGTTTTAACAATATTTTTTCAAATATCTTTTGGCTGGACTTTTGTTATAATTTATTTATAATAATTTTTTTGGTAAAGTTTATTTATAACGATTTCTTTGTAAAGTTTATTTATAACGATTTTTTTTTTAAGTTTATTTGTAACGTTTTTTTTTTGTAAAATTTATTCTAAATATCTTTTGTTGTAATTTATTTAGAACGATTTTTTAAAGTTTATTTATAAGGTTTTTTGTAAAGTTTATTTATAACGATTTTTTTTGTAAAGTTTATTTATAATGATTCTTTGTAAAGTTTATTTATAACAATTTTTTTGTAAAGTATATTTATAACGATAATTTTTTTGTAATAATTATGACATAGAAAACAAAAAATTTTATAATGTAACCACAAAATTTGTAAAAAAACAATGTTTTTGCGGTATTTTGAGGTTTGGTTGACACTATTACGATTGGTACTCATCCAGTAACATTCACTGATGCTGATGTTATAATCCTGGTAAATATTATGATCGTTATTTTTAGTCATATACTA